AACGGATCCAGTGATCAAAGATATGATGGGCAGATAATGATAAGATTTCTTCTACAAAGAACATTTTAAATATATAAATTCAATACATAATCTTTGCATGACTTATACATCCATAAACAAATGATTTGGTTGAATAATAATTTGAATGATTCGATTAATGAAAATAAATAACTTTGTGGCATTTCATCACAAAAATTCCAATAAATAAAGTAATATATTGAAATTACCTTGTAATTTGTATGCTTTCAACGCGTAAAACGATGTGTTAAAATTTAATTTTTATTCGAACAATTCCCATAGATGAAAGAAATCAATTCAATAAATACAACTATATATTAACATTGAAGTTTCATGACGAGAAGTTGATTCATACTTTAAGGCTGTATTGATATCAAAGCAATACGCAAATAAGTTAAAATATCACAGCATGTTGATATTGAATTAGATTGAAAGAAGTATTTTTCTCAACCATGATTATTGATAATTCTATAGTTTTAGATCTAGGTGAAAATGACGCAATTCAACCACCACCAGTATGATTAACATATGATTACTGCTTAAAATTTGATGTAAGATTTAAGTCACCAACAGGTACAAACTAATCTTGCCCGTATGCACCTCAATTTGCCCTCGAGAGACGAAGGGAAGTATATTTGACAACTACTGTCCAATGATATCGATCGATTTCCTAGCCTGATTAGACATAGTGAAGACCAATTAAGAGGGTTCCATCAAACTTAAGGTAATTTATGAAGAGTTGTTGCGTAGATCGTTTATTAAATGGTAAAACTTTTTGAAGATTCGATGAGAATAGATATTTAAATGGTTATATTTTAGTGTCATTTAAAAACACGTCCGTTAATAGATGTTTTTTTAATCGTCTAAAGCATATTATGATCGATTCAAAACAAGGCGAGAATTTTCTGTCAACTTTTAGGGTGTTGATGTGAGGTGTGGGTTAAGAAGAAAACATCCCTACCCACACTCACACCCACACCCTCAAGATAGTGACGTTCGCAGTGGCGTGCAGTTGTTGAATTGACTTTGTTAAGTCAGGTTGTGACGTTACTACTGGATGTGTGGGCAAGTTTTGTGGGTATTCATGTGTGTTATCATTTTGCTATAGAGTATGTTTGATCGCTTTGAAAATGAGAAATGAGTTAGTTAGAACAATTTTATGAAGAATTCCAACTAAACTGAGTTTGTAGATGATGGCGCTTTGTTTTACTTTTAGAAAACTTCATATCGAACAACATGTGGCATAAACTAAATAATAGTGATTCTACAGCTTTATGCATAGCATCTCTTCTTCGGCGCTTTGCTACAAAGATGCTTGATTCGATAATAGATACTACAGAGTTAAAAATAATATTGTTGTTCGTTTGTGTAGCCTGAGTAGTATCTAAGTTGAAAGAAAAATTCCGGAAATGTTTCACTGATGAAAGATGAACAATTTACAGTATTGTGCATTACTATAGTTTGTATTTTATATTATTAAGAGAAAACATTGATTTTTTGTTCGTCATACGTCATAATGTGCTGAAGTTAATAAACTCAACATTCTAGAATTATCATTTCGTCTGTTTTATTGAAGCTTCATGAGTGCTAACACAAGTAAGCGATTAACAAATAGTGCTTGTTTGTATAAAAGTTTGGATCGAAGCGTCTAAGTGATAATCAAGAATATTTAATGTTGAAGAATCTATTTTCGAGAAATCTGCTAGAGATTTTCTTAGCCATAGACCACAAATCATTCACTGATAAACTCTATTAAGTTGTAACATACTTCAAATACACGTGTTGAGAACTGTTTGAATGGTTAAACAACAGATTTAGAATACGAATTTCAGTTTGTGTATGACTGCAACAATTTCAGTTTGATCCGTTTCGATTTCATGTAAGATAGTGAACTACTACTCATAGCTGGTATTGGAAAATAGAAATTCTTTTATACAAAAGTTAACTGTTTTAAAGTAAAATGTGTGACAATGATTTTCGAAATGACTGATTTCATGTGAAACTACTAATATACACATATTGTATCCATTTCTTTCGCAAATCCAATATCTTTTAATACTATTTCATTTTTTATTCGATATATAAAATCGTTTAAAATTAGCAAAGGATTGCCTTTATTAGAGATGATAAAAGATACGCTGCTTGTATTCGATGTCATCGAAGTTTATACTAAATTAACAACAAGTGATATGCAATGGGAAAAAATAAGGTATGGCGTATCTTTATTTCGTTATATCTTTTGTGTCCTTTGTGTTTATTCCGTTAGCTAGATTGGACGATGATACTATTGACGAAAAACGCTAGCCAGTTAAAATAGACAACACAAGAAAACGGAGAAATAAAATATCACTTACTGAATTTTAAAATTAAAAAAACAATTTATGGAAAAATATACTCTTCGCTATTTTCATATAATCGACATTTTATTTTTCGCCTATTTTTCTTCGCTCTTTTTTCGTTCACTCATTTTAATGGCATTCCTGATAAATATCAATTGAAAAGTCATTTTCTGTCACGTCGTACAAAAATAGTGTTATATGCGCATTAACGAGAAAAATGCAAAATCGTATAATTAGATAACATATAGCTATAAAAGGCAATGAAATAAAAATAATCTGCATAAAAAAAACAACAACGATGCAGTTTTCATCTACAATTTTCGTTATTCTTCTACTAATTTCGGGCAATTTTATGTTGGATGTAGTTTCTGGTTCCTGTAAAAACGATTCTCAATGTTCAGTTTCACATGTGTTGTGTGCGTTCTGTACTAAAGGAAGAGGACCAGCATGTAAAAAGCCGATATGTCTCCAACAAGAGTGTGTTCAAATCAATGCCTGCTCTTTGGCTCTCAGTGGAACATGTAATACGGCTGGTGATTGCATAGTAGACTACCTGTGTGAAGAATGCAAAACAAACACAGGACCTTCTTGTGCTAAAGCATCATGTATCAACAGTCAATGTGCTATAATTCAACCGTGCTCTATCCAGCTACATGAATGAATTTATCCATTTCTAAATATATTTTATTTCATTCACAATTTATTTGTATTTTTATTTTGTGGATCGTTTAATAAAATTTGTTTTTCATGAGTATCAGTTTGAGACAGCAAAAAACGATCATGTAATCACATGCACTGCTCACTCTCGTCTATTTCCTAAATGATGAGTATTTATTCAAGCTGCGGACACGAATGTTGCCGTTGTGTTACATACAAGAAAGAATACCGAATGAATGTTCTTTGCATGCATTGAAATTTTCGAAATTCGTCATATACCCAGGTCGAAAACTCAGACGTCAGATCGTGTAAGGCCGTATAAGATCTTATTCTTATAAGATTTTTCGTATGATTTTGATACAAGATCATACAATATCTGACGTGTTCGTTTTTTCTAAGATTTCGTCAGATTCTGTCTGTAAGATGCTAGCAAAAAATCTTATAAGATTTGAACATTAAGAATCGTATACGAACAGGCTGCACGATTCTTGCTTGATCGTAAAAGATCATATAAGATTCATGATAAAAGAAACATACATACGTACGTAATGTAAATCTTGTATGTTCTTATCTGATCGTGTATGATCTGCCAATTTCTTTTACTTATTCGAGAACTATTGATTTTAGGAGTGTCAGCTTAGCAGGAGTATTAAAAAGATGCTAATACTTTTGTATTAGTATTAGGGAAATAATTTAATACTTTAGTATTAGTGAATACCAATAATTTGGGTGTAGAAAAATGGTTCATAAAAATTTCAATTTTTTTCATTTATTATGTCGATTATGTTCATTTATGAATACACAGTATCGATCTTAACTAACTAGAAAGAAATGTTTGGTACCCTAATTTGAAAATAGTGTCACCAATACTTAAGCACTGTTACTGAGATTTATCGTAGCAGAAATTCTGTCAAAATATTTATCATTTCTACAATTAATACCGAGGAATGAAAGAAATGACTCCATCAATAATATGAATAAATATCAACAATCAATAATTTTCAATATATTACAACAGTTCAAAAAAAATAGATCGATTTAAGACTTTAGTTTTAGATGGGAGTGAGACTGTGAAAACCATGGCTGGACTCGATGAATCTTGTGAATTTGTAAAAGCAATTGACATCTTTGATATCTAATCACAAAATGAAAAGGTATTAAAGACTATTGCGCATGATCTGATCCATCATTTTTTCCCTGCTTGATATGTATATTTAAAAAAAATGTCAACACCCTATGTTTGCTTAGGTTCACAATCTGTGGGTCAATTCTCAATGAATACTCTTCAAAAGTTAATCCATGATTCATTTAACTTTATAAGTAAAACATACCTTTCGATAATAATTAAAAAATCTATATTATTGAGTGAGCAGTCCAACATTACACAAAAGAATTTGAACACGAGATAAGCCAACCATTTATTTTTATTCTTAATTAAATACAGATCGATTTAAATGAAATTCACTAAAGTTTTTGTTTTCATCAGTATCAATATCAATCCATCGAATAGAAAATATTCAATGAACTATTTTAAAATCATTATGAAAAGGATCGTTCAATCTGAATTGAAATTTTATGCAATGAATTAAAGAAACATAGGACAATTCGATGAGTTATTTTCTTTATTAATGCTTTTTATTTTATATAGCAACAAAAATACTTAGAGATATGGTGTCCATTGAGCGAAAATAAAAATAGCGAAATGCATTTTCAACCAATATCTCTTCGCTCAAAACTTTTTTCGCTGTTTTGCATTCGCTCAAAAATTTTCGCTAAAATTGTTTTCGCTGATTTACCCCCATACCAAAAAATTCGATCAAATCTGGCTTTCATTCAACAAGATCCAAATGCTAGATATTCCTCACATATATTGGTGGTAAATATCTTTTCAATGGGATTATTTTTCATACGAAAATGATGACAGCGTTCCCATTTTACATTGAAACGATCTGTTAATGTAATCAACAAATAAATAATATTATTCAGTCACTTCAGCCGAGTGAGTAAGGTGTTGCATGAGTGTGAAGGAAATGCATTAAATGTACTTTCACCGTATTTCGAATATGTTCCATAAATACAACCAATAGCGGGAAAACCTTCTAATAATTGAGCATAATATTTTGATTGTGGCGAATCAGAAATTGCAAAAGGGAAGTCTTTCAAAGCGTAAGCCGTTTCAGATTGTTTCGTACTGTAGGCAGCTGATTTATAAGCTCGTTGATTAATTTCATCAATTGCATATAATGTATTATCAGCAAAAAATAGCATTTGAGTCGAAAAATATGGTTGTGTTATGCACATTCACCGTAATAATAGAATAGAACAAACAATATTAAATAGAAATATGTTTTCATCTTTTGATATATAAAAAAATAATCGTCATGAAATGATGGCATGTAAAAGCATGGTAGTGCAATACGTTTTCGTTCTTACGTTACTCAATAAACATTTTTCGCACGAGACACAATAACACCTGTGTTAGTTTCTTATCGCAAACAACACTGGCCTTGCTCTTTTTTCTTTTGTCAAACGAAAGAAGGTTTTTCATTTTTTTTTATCGTCGAGTTCACTATACTGAGTGGATCGACACAGAATGGCGTAACAATGAGTTATATAGCAATTCAGTTTTGATTAATTGATAATCAATCATAACGATAAAGCCTACACTCTTATACACCATCTTGGGTCTATATACTGAAAACTTGATAGCTGAATTCAATTTAAGTCTCACGTCAGTGTAAGGTGAGGTTAATGTTTAGAGTGTGAAAGAGTCCCGTGGAGTGGTAACAATTAAATTGGTCTTATCCTGATCGTTTGTATGAAGACTTGGTGATCAATGCTGTGTCTTATCACCAACATCACTTTCATACTGATTTTTAGGGTTTCGAGGTTATGTCAGAAAATTTACCTGAAAAACAATTCACTGAATATTTTACCACTGTCTAAGGTATCACGACTTTTCTTCAGCTGATTGATCAAATAAAACGTTCCCTTAAACATAATAATCTGTTCATTGTTCGCCTTCCTTAACACGATTGTTAAATAAAAAAAGATAAATTAATTTATATTTGCCCTCGATTTTAAATATTGTCACTCCTATGAAAGACATTTTCAAGAGTCGGATCGATTCTTTTCATGCATTCGAATAAGAACCAACATATAAGCCCTCTTTATCATATCTTTCCTTATAATCTGAATAATATTTAAATTTTGCTTACCGTCTGCCTCTGAACCATACAAGATGCGTCGGTCGAATGCTTAACACATTTGACGATATGTGTGATTTCATTATTCATGTAGTATATCAATACGTAATACTCACACACCCACATCCTCAAAAGAAAAAGGATTTATCAGATATTTCAAAAACAGAAAAAAGGCTGATTTTCCTTTGCAAACTCATAAGCCCTTATTTTTTTACAATGTTTGTCATTATATTTGTTGTGTTTGTCAAGGAGAATATCAGCTGTTATGCAACGTACCGCAATTATCATGAGGAAGGCGTGTATGATTTCAGTGACATATCTCATCGAATATCTTGTTTTTGTCAAATAAAGTCAGCGATAATTTCGATTTAAGATGCAGATGTATCATGTTTAAACGGAATTAAATTTCGCATCCATACGCTTCTGTCTCTCGAACTCCGCTATACTATTGACGAATGTATTTCGTTTCTGTTGTCATGAATTTGAGTCAGGTAAGTGTACATATTTCTTCCTTGCTAGTACTGATTCAGAAATTACTTACAGAATCCTATGTGAGCGATCTGATATAGACACAACAGAAAATAAATCCATTCGTCAATATGTTGACAGAGTTCGAGTAGCGGAAGTTCATTGGCGTGAAATTCAATTCCGTTTAAACAAGATATTCGATCAGATGTTTCAGTGATATATTGCACGAATATTGGGCTATAAATACGGTATGTTGCATAGCAGATGATATTCTCAGTAGCAAGCACAACCAGCACAATGACAAAAATCGTCTTTCTCACTCTTCTCGCCTTATGTTTGGCCCTTGAAATCTTCGGCCTCAAACTCGAACAATGTCCACCTGGGTTCCGTTGTCGCAAACGGACTACCAGCCTACTTATGCGCTCGATTATCTCCAAGATCGAAGAAGAAGAAATGGATGTCGAAATTTGTGAAGCCGGCACGTACAGCCCAGGAGGAGCGGATGAGTGCACACCGTGCGAAAAGGGCACATACGCGGCCAAACCAGGAGCTCCAGCGTGTTATTTTTGCCCCAAAGGACATATGTGTCCGCGCGCCGATGTCGTACCCGAGCAATGTCCATTGGGCACCTACAATGATCTCTCACGTCAAACATGCTGCCGCGTTTGTCAACCTGGAAAATTCGCTTTACTAAAAGGCATGTTCCAATGTGACGATTGTCCTTCTGGCTACAGATGCCGAGCACGCGCAAAGTTGCCATGCGAAGACGAAGGTCAGTATAAAAGACTACCGTATTTCACAATGAGTAATCTCGTCTTGCAACATAGTACTTAAATAGTATAGATTATCTTCTCTGTTCAATTACACTCTAAAACTCTGACGTCTCTTTGGAGTTTTCAGAACTACTTAAAAATCCTTGCATTGCACTGAGCGTTCAAGTTCACCAATCTTGAGAGTATGGGTGCATGAACATGGATGTTCACTGTATCTTTTCACACCCGTAAAGCTTCGATTCATCAAGTGCGATATTTTATGTTGTGTCATACCAAAATCTATCTTCTTTGTTTACATAAATGTTTTATATTTTGATGAATAGCGATGGAGACTACGACTACAACTACAACTACAACTACGACTCGTACAAGCGAGAGCATTATAACCAGAAGTATGTATTTCAACTTGTTAAAACGAAGAGCAACACAATAGAACAAAGAAACGCTTTTGAAGTTGTAGTAGGAAAGTCTAGAACCCTCCATCTCTGGTGTCATTCCTTGATTGTTTTAAAAATAGAAAAACTTCAAAATCTATTGACGATTCGATCATTTCATTTCCGACTTTTTTATTGAAAAAAACTACGAAAGCGAAAAGGGAAAGTATGAAATGATTTTGAAGTTTGCATCAACTAATGACGAAGAAAGTTTCGTCCGATGATAAAATTGACAATCTGCTCTTTCTTGTTCAAAACGATTGTCTTTGGTCTGGTATTTGCAGCTTCACTAGCATTAGAGAAGATTTGAAAACTTTGAAACGATTTTGAAAAAGTTTCAATTGCTCTTGCAACAGTTTACAGCTATAAACGCATACTCTTTTCTCTTCTCTTTCTAAATTTCGAAGTAAGACGTCGCCGGGATGGCATTTGTGTCAGTGATGCTACCGATTTAATCTAAACATATATTCGAATATATTTCTAAGCCTGTTCACTTGAAGTGAATGAAAAAATTATAGCTCATTTTTATAGCTTACTCAATTGTTTCATAAATCTTCAGAGACGACCACTCGTTTTGTTGATCATCTAGTATATACTTTTACAGACAATCTCTTCGTAGCAAATGCTAATAATATACAAACAAATATTAATTGATTATTAACTGTCATTATTTTTTAATTGACTAATTAAACCTCGTTGTGTTTTGAACTTCAAAATTATCTTTACGACATCACAATAAAGTTAGAAAAAAATCAAAATCTTGCTATCTTGTAGGATTACCCTTTCATTTTGAATAGATACGCTCCCCCGTCATCATTACGCTATTATTTTTAAGTACACCATCACTCCGAAATGATAAACTAGATAAGCACATAACAAAGACAAAAAGGACTATAATGAATACTTTTTTATTATTATTTAATCGATTCGGTTCTGTTCCATCCTGGGGAAAAGTTCGGGTTTTTCCTGTCCATACTGTGTTGCTTGAAAACTATGCAAAAATAAACTCCTCACTGCTTGGCAAAACAAAATTCTTGTTATTTGTTTCTGTTAGTAGACGCCTTGAGAGCTTTATTTTTTTAGACTCAGTCCTCTGATTGCGTCTTTTTAGTTATTTCGTCAACATAGAAGACTGCTGAGGTTTCACTCACGCTCTTTTCTTTGTGCATATTCTAAGAATAGTTCACTGGAAAAATTCGTTCTTTCCAATTTTGTCTCTATCCGTAACTATAAATTTTCTATGGAGAGGACCACCATGATGAAAAGTCGTATTGTCATGTACTCGCCTACAACCATCAGTGCTAGTCTTGTAACAACTAATTATTAAATTACTTTCCATTCTCTAGCCACCACTCCTACAATCGATGAAGAAACAGTTACAGGCGTTTTAAATCGTCACAATTGGACTGATATTGGAGCTGTGATCGATGTCACTGGAAGCATGGCTGCTTGCTATGCTCAGATTGATCAATGGTTGGCTCTGAGTCATACAAATAAACTGGTTCAGTATTTTGTCTTTTTCAATGATGGTGATAATACGCCAAATAAGGACAAAGTCATCGGATCCACAGGTAAGAAACCTTTGAAAAGAATAATCATTATCTATCTATCTTTCGACTTCAATTCAGGTGGTATCTATGCCGTACACACAAACGAAGGGATCGACAAAGTTTTGACAACTTTGAATACTGCTAAGAGTAATGGAGGAGGTGGTGATGGTCCTGAAAATGATATTGAAGCAATTATTTATACGATTGCCAATTGTTCTACATGTGAAAATATTATTCATATTGCTGATAATCAAGCAACACCAAGAGATTTGATTCTCTTAGGTGAAGTTACAAAACCGATTAAAGTCATTGTCTGTAAATATATCCCAGGTACTCTTGTCAATCCAAAACTGTTAGACATTGCTTACAAAACGGGTGGCTCTTTGCATACACTTGATTTGGATATTGAAACATTAGGAATTTTGAAAGTTGGTGATACAATCCAAGTGGGTACTGGCACTTATCTGCTAGATGTAACTGGATTTATACGAATTGTTTGAAGTTTTGAAGTTCGTTCTAGTTAACTTGCAAGTGTAAATTAATGTGACTCTTCATTTTGAAAATCATTTTTTTTGTTTTCGACAATAAAATACATTGATACGGAGTTAAAAAAGTTTTCAAGACGCATGGAAACGCGGTTTCCTATGAAACTCACTGAGACGCGGTTAAAAGTATTTTGGCGCCGATGGGTGTGGTAGTATGCTTAACGCATTTTAAGCATGCCCATACCCACACTCTGCCTTATTTATTTAACTTTGTTAAAAAAAAAATACTGAGTATGAAACCATATGATTTCAACATTATACTAATGACTACTTCATAAGTATGAGTCAACTAATTAACTTTGATATTATTACTCTTCAAGTGAACTTATTAGTTTCTTACCTAAATCTGCTATGTCAATATCGAAAGCATTTTATTGAGAATTAATGTAACACATGATACAGTGATGAAAAAGTATTGATGCTGAATGTCACTTTTACAAAAATCAAACAGAACCGAAAGAATAAATTGACGATTTCCAGCAGAAACAATATATCGACTGGGTTTTGCAAAGAAATAAAAGAAGATTGTAAGACTCTGTGGATTCTTGATAACTGAGTTGAGAACAAGTGGCTCAGGTAAATACTGTTATTCTATGAATTATTGAAAGTATTCTTTTCCATAGTTTTATGGCAATATACCCAGTCAGACAAGTAACGAAAAACTCGACGTTTTTATGCGTAAGAAACGCACACTTTAACGCGTTAAAAAAAGACTTTTTTGTGAGAAAAAAACGAGTTAATGCATGTGGGTGCTTTTAAACTTGTTTTTAGTAAAAAAACACTTTTTTTAACGCGTTAGAATGTGCGCTTCTTACGCATAAAGCGTCGATTTTTTCGTTATTAGTCTGACTGGGTACCGTTTCTTTTAAACATTGATCACGATAACTGATAAGATCGTATTGAAAAGACAAGCAAGTTTTCAGTCATCAAGTTAAGCGGAACAGAAAACTAACAGTCGAACAGCAACAATGAGCGAACAATTAGAGAAAAAAGATTCGAATTTAAGCACTCTTAGAGACAATGTAAATCAACTCGAAAGTCGTTTTGAGAAATTACGTGAAGACGTTATTTCAAAGTTAAATGAATGTAGCGATTGCATTAAATCAGCTAAACAATTATGTCAAGAAGCAACAGAAACGACAACAATCTTAGAAAACAAATTAACTAATGCATCGAATGAAGAAAAAGAATGGAAAGACATCAAAATTAAATTAGCAACAACATCAATTCAAGGTAAAGTCATTCTTGATGTCGGAGGTGAGAAATATACAACAAGTGTTGAGGTATTAACACGTGAAAAAGACACTTTTTTCACCGCTCTCTTCTCTAAACAATGGCAACTTGAAAGAGACCCTGATGATAAAAGTATATTCATCGATCGTGATGGGAAATTGTTTTATTATATTTTGGTATATCTAAGAACAAATGCAGTGCCAATTAATGTTATGAAAGATGAAACACTTCTAACTAGTCTTATGATTGAAGCTGAATATTTTCGGTTGAAGAATCTGCTGGATATTTTAATGGATACACTTTTCCCAAATGAAACATTGCTTAAATTCGAACATAAGAAAAAGTTGAATGACTTTTATGGTAAAACTAATCAACAATGGGAACTGATTTATAAAGCAACGCGTGATGGATTTGATGCAAATACATTTCATTCACACTGCAATGATAAAGGGCCGACAATAACAATTATTCAATCAAATAACAATTATCTCTTTGGAGGTTATACAGCTATTCCATGGACTTCCGATAATTCATATAAGAGTGATACAACAGCATTTTTGTTCACTTTGACCAATCCTCACAATATTCCACCGGCAAAATACCTCATCGATACTAGTAAGACAGTATACACAGTTAATCACACCAGTGGCTATGGTCCAACATTTGGAGGTGGTCACGATATCCACTTGGCACATGCGAACGATGCGAACAATTCAAGTTACACTAACTTTCCTTATACATACCTTGATACAACTGGAAAGGGTAATAATACATTCACTGGTGCTAGAAATTTTACCACATCTGACATTGAAGTTTTCAAATTAGCTTAAATTATCTTTCTCGCTGCTGATTTTTAACACTCATTCATGAGAAGAATTAACATATAATTATCTTGATTTTAAAATCTATTTAATCTAGAAAATATGCAATAAGCTGATAATAAATGAAGGTGTGGGTGTGTCGATGAAGAGGCTCGTCACACTCACACCTTATTTTTTGCGTGGCACGCGGGTTCAGAGATAGATAGTAAAAATTTGACGCGCGAAACTTGAAAGTTACAACTTAATCTTTCAACTTTCAAGTATGACACATACGAAAACTGTTGAACAATGGTATGTTATGATTATTATTTGCTTGGGTGTTTTCTCAAAGACTGTTGACCATAGTAACTCATAGTATGGGAGCTCTAAATCAAATCACTATCAATTGATAAGATTACTATAGGCACTTCTTGAAATGCATCTTGCTAGCTTTTGATTTTAATCAATAATAAAATCATACGCCCACCTTGCTGTTGGAGTGTGTTTTTCCTTTTCTATATTGGAAGCATGAATTTTTTAAAATTTGCTGGTAAACATTAACAAGGTGATCGTTGTTGTTCTTTTCAACTAAAACTGGTAAATTGAAATAAGCTTTTCGCATTTTCTTTCGAATCGAAACGACGTATCTTATTACTCAATGGATATTCCAACGGCATTTTACTTTGACAACGACCATACATATGAAAAAAGTATAATTGATTTTGAAAGTCATTCTAGCATTAACAACATATTTTTTTCTTTCTCTTGCGTTCTTCCGGCGGTTGCCATGATAGCCAATTTAATAATGCGTAAATGTGTGCGAGAGAGAAAAAACCTACTGCATAGTTGTGCAGGTAATTGCTTTCATTATTGTATGGTATTAAACGATAGGATTTTACTTAGAACATTGTAGCTACAGGTGTTCTCATACTTTGTTATTCGTTATCTAGATGGAGATTTCTACTCTACACTTAAGCATTCCTAATTACGTAGTTATTGATAACTATACATTCGTTTTTTCTTCTTGTTTCACATTGGATCCTTTGCCGTACACAATAATATCTATGCAAATATCATTCAAATTCATCTTAGCATACGAACAGACTCAACGATTTCTTCATTAGATTTTTTTTTAAAGTATGCTTTTTTTTCTTGTACATTTTGTTTTCAAGATTGGATATACAACTTGGTTGACAGTCTTCAATAAAGGATATGTAGACTAACTCATATGAAAAAAAACGTCACACAATGGCAACTAAAAGGTATGTACTAACTGATAATTATTATATACAGAACTTTTTCACATGTTTTTGGCAGCATTTCACGTTGCAAGATTTTACTTATTGGCGATTCCGGTGTTGGTAAAACATCTCTTTTAAATCAGTTCAGTGTAAGCATTCTTCATTTCATTTCATTCTAATTCTCTAATTGTTCGATTTTATAGGATCATACATTTAGTGAAACTTTCATTCCCACTATCGGGATCGATTTTGTATGTGTTTTTATTTTCTTTACGCGTAAATATATCTTAGTCATCGCTTATTTTAGAGAAGCCAAATGATCACCCATGCTGAAAAAGAAATTAAATTACAAATTGTGAGTAGTTAAAAAAATGATTCTCATAATGCGCATTATCTATGTTGGACTTTTTCAGTGGGATACAGCTGGCCAAGAACGATATCGTAGTCTCACAGGTAATTTGGCTTTGATTATTCAGCTATATGATGAATGAATGGGATATTACATTTAATGATAGAATTTTGTATCGTATAGTTCGATTTCATTATTGTAGTACAGAAAGACGAAAAATTATAATATAAAATATTAACATTTGTACGAAATCAAAAGAGAGGAAGACTTTTCTTGTTTGTAGAATAAACAAAAATGTTTGCAGAGTATTTTTTTGTTCATGTTATTCATCTATCATATTTTTAGGTTCATACTTTAAAGATGCTCATGCTGTCATGATAGTTTTTGATGTTACTAAACAAGTATATGATTCTAATTTTGATTTTATGAATTAAATTTTAAACAATTGTTCTCTTAAGGAATCATTTGATAATATCAAGATGTGGTTAGAAGAAATCAATACGAATGCAACTACTGATGTTAACATAGTATTAGTTGGCAATAAATGTGATTTAGCATCTGAGCGAGTCGTTGACTATGCGAAAGCTAAAGTATGTAAAACAAAAACTTCAACATGTGCAAATATGTTTGTTTTGTGTTCTATAAGGAACTTGCTGATTCATTACATATTTCATATATGGAAGCATCCGCGAAAGACTCAAGTAATGTCGAGCAGATATTTCAGATGTTGACCACTGAAATTCTTTCAAATAATGAGTCACCCACAGTACAGACCACAAATGCGGAAGAAAAATCTGCTACTAAACCAGTCGAAAACACGGCAACAATTGATTCGGATTAGTGAGTTACATCTAAAAATCGGATATGATGATGCGTCGACACTAAATAAGTCATTGTACATGAATACTTTAGCGATCTTCTGTTGAAATTACTACTTATCGGTGATTCAGGCGTTGGCAAGTCATCGTTATTGAAGCGCTTTTCCGTGAATATTTTTCAATTTATTATCTTTAAATTTATAACTTTGCATTCCTTTAAGGATAATATTTTCACGGAAAGCTTCTTACCAACGATTGGAGTTGATTTCGTAAGTTGACCATTCGATTCAAAGTTGTTGATCATATTTTGCAACTCTTGTAGAAAATTCGTACGTTAAATCACAATGGAAAAAACATAAAATTACAAATTGTAAATATCTTTTTATCATCATGATTATGGGCATTTTTTTCTTCGGTTTTGTATAGTGGGACACAGCAGGACAAGAAAGATTTCGTACTATCACAGGTAAAGGTTTTTACATTTTTATTATTAAAATCGATCGAGCAATTCAATGAAGAGTGTCGTTTTATCAAATATCGAAATCAGTTCGAACGTACTAAGATTGATTTGCTGGTTCTATTTTCAGCTTCTTATTATCGTGGTGCACAGGGTATTATCCTCGTTTTTGATCTTACGGATCTTGTATGTAATTTTAATTGTGTTTATTTTTGCCTCTTCACGCTCAATTATCATTATTAAGGAATCGTTCGACAATATCAAAAAATGGCTAACAGAAATTGAACGCAATGGACATGAAGATGTCAAAAAGCTATTAGTTGGTAATAAATGTGATTTGACAGCTGAGAAAGTTGTTGATTATGGAAAAGCTAAAGTATGTATGCGGACAATGGGTATACACAATACACCTTTTTTGTATTAGAAATTCGCTGATTCATTACACATTCCATATATTGAAACATCGGCAAAAGACTCGAATAATGTTGAACAAACATTCAAAGACATGATTGATCCGATCATGGCGAGTATGTTATCATCTAAATCAAAAAATACCAATATCAATGTGAGTGCCAAAGAAAAATCATCGAAAAACTCAAGTAGTAGTTTTTGTTAACCACAGTAAAACATTGCTACATTGCCTTTTTTTGTTCTTGTTTAATTTATGAATTTCTTTCATGATCAATGTTTATTTACTTATATGCTTATCATTATGATGACAATTTGAGAAAACAGGTTGCATGATTTAAAATTGATTGATTTCAATAAGAAGAGAAAATAACTAATAAAAGTAAGAATGACTGTTTCAGAAAAAATGATCACCAGCTGATGGATAAATGTTCAGGAAAAATACTACAAAAATTCAAATAACGTTTAACTTCACAGCTTACAGTAGGATACTTGCATCAAATAAAATAATTTGTTTTCATTGCAAACAGAAAGAAAAACAAGCATAGAAGGAGTATTGTCTGGCATCGCGGGTGTGGGGTGTGGGTGAGCGAAGAGGATAGCCATTTGCCCATACTTGCACTGACACACCCACAGCCGATACACGCACACGTTCGAATAAATAAATTTATATCTTAATCTCGTGTTGATTAACATTTTTGTTAAATACAGTTAGGGAGCGAGTGCCCGGAGAGCAAGTGTCTGGGGCGCACCTATCTGGGGAGCAAATGTCTCTGGGGAGCAACTATCCAGGGAACGTCTGTCTGGGGAGCGTCTTGCCGGGATTCCCAATAAATTTCATTCACAACTAGAGCAAGAATCTTTGCAAGAAGTAAACGACGTTCTCTTTATCTTTAATAAAGAATTTTAAAAAACTCTATTATCTTTGTTTTGATATGTTGTTACTAACTAAAAATAAACTTCAATATGAAGCCTGAATTAAATTTTTTTCAAATGAAGAGAATTCTTATTTAACGCAGTTACAGAGTAAATACTTTGCAAAAGATAACAATATTATTTTAAATATAAGGCGTATCGCATGCTGTTACGTCAGCATTTCTCTTCAATAGCTTTTTATTAATCTATATTCCAGAAGATAATTGAGGAATCATGGCTGATATACCGGCTGATCGATTAGATTTAAAAAACACTAGTAAATCAACATCTAAACCAAAATACGAAAGATTTGATATTGATGATTCTACCGAAGTGATAGTAAAGAACGGCAAGTTCGTATAAAAGGTTTAATGAAAATATTTATCATCTACTGTTATAAATATAATCAGAAAACTAGACACTGTATACAAAAGTCTTCTTGGTCTACTGGCGATCGTAGTTGTGGCGACTGTTGTGATTGTACCAACCGTTATATTTACACAGTCGAAACCAAAACACCTCTCTGTTTCTAGGCCAACTAGTTTATCAAACATAACTTCAACGATCACTGCCTCTATGATAGTCTTAGGTTCAACAACGGTGGATATTTCAGTTGAGAATGAATCAACTACTGATGTCTCTTGGACAACTACAGAAACAACGACGACTGATGGTTTCACATCGAAAGAAATGACAACAACTTCTGGCTTTACAATAAATGAAATAACATCGACTAATAGTTTCACAACGGAAGAAGTGGCAACGGATGAAATAACAACACCTGATGAGTTTACGACGACAGAAGCAATAACTAATTTTCCTACGACAGACAGTACCAGCATAGATTCGATGACTAGTAAGACTAAAGTACAGATGAAGGCCTTCTTCCATTGTCTATTTTAAGCGACAGCTCTATGCCCATTAGATCATGTGCCAACACCATCTGGAACATGTGTCAATACAGAAATGGACTTCAACAATTGTGGTTTTGTCGGTTTTGTTTGTTCTTCAAATTATACAATGTGCTTGGGTGGGTTGTGTAATATTGAGCCTGCCGTTCAACTTTTGGGTGCTCCTGCTGTAACTAGTTGGCTCATTGATAATACTGATGACCAATTTGTGTCACTGAACATGCCATTCAAAATAACACTCTACAATTATTCGACTCCAATGGTCAATCTGACATCAAATGGAGTTAGTAGTATTTTTGTTTGGTTACTCTGTCGATCTACAATTAATTCTCTGAAAACTGGAGTATCATAGCGAAAAATATAGTGAGGGAGATAGAAGCCGTCCTATTTTGATTCCGAATTTCGGCACAGCATTTTCAAGATTACAAAGAAAATAGTTCAATGTGTAAGATTCACGTCAGTTTTCATCGAATCATCAGACTGAGTTCATACAGAATGTATAATATTTTCTCGATGTAGTTTTCCTCGTCAAGCATCTGTTCGAAATGAATTTTACTTCCCAGTTTGCATTTTGTGTTTTATAAAACTCAGAACTATTTAAAGCAGATTTGTTTCGTAGCTCACGCATATTATAACGGTTGTCCTTTATATTAAACTTAGATCATCTGTCTCGGTGTTTGCTCTGCTAAATATACAAATGAGCAGCTTCCATCTTCAGATTTCAATAGCCCAACAGCTTTCGGTTTCTGGGATGATCTTAAGATCTACCAAAGCTATAATCATGCTGTTTACTATGCTGAACGTGGCGTGGCACCGTATCGAAGAATGATATTCGAATTTTACGAAGGCCATTACAGTGAGAACTCTCGATACTATCGTTTTCAAATAATTTTCTACGAGAATGTACCAAACATCGTTAGATACGTGTATTTTCACATATCCGATGGAGGTGCCTCAGCTACGATTGGTGTTCAAAGTATCTTTTTACAATTAATATTCAGCTAGAAGTTTTCTTTTTCCATCTATTTCTAGAATCTGCTATGGGGCCGTACACAACCTATTCGATGAACACACCAAATGCAGTTAAAAATGGTACATCGCTGATATTCGATACAATTGGTGGAACTTTTAGTGGTTGACCTATAAGATATAAATTTTCACTGCATGACAAACTTCTGTCCGAAATAAAAGTCTTGTGTAAATAAACAAAAGAGAAATTTTTCAAGAAAGAAAAATAAATTTTCTTCCTATATGAAGCATTGGTCAGGGGCATATGTTGTGCTATTATAATCAGATCTAAGAACCAGCTATAAACGCCACTTAATCGGAAAACTGGACTACGGTTGGAACATTCTAGTTCTATTTTTTCAATTAATGCATATCATAAAAATTAATAAAGCAAAATAAAATCTATGTAAACCAACAAATATCATAAATACAATCTCTTTTTTTGCTTAACTAGTGAGTTACTCGATTTCATCCTTCTTTTGTTGTATTTTTAGTCGTCGCTTGATTTTCTCGGTTGATGCATCTTTGAATGGCGCCTTGAACTGTACTCATGCGAGAAAAATTTTGATTTTTCATTTTAAAACCATGTTTAAGGCCTGTTTTATAAGTATTGAGCGCCATCGAGTTCTTACCAACAGCTTCATAGCCAGCTCCGACATGGGTGTAAATTTCGAAAAGTAACGCATTGTTTAATTTCGAACGATTCTTTTCAATATCTAAAGCTTTCCGAAAATATTTCAGCACCATGTGGTGTTCTTTGATTGCCTTATAGCAACATGCGATACTCTGAAACAATTGTACCATAGTGTGATGATCATTTGGTAATGATTTAATACCAACGTCAATCGCTTTCTCATAATACTCGATTGCTAACGAGTACTTTTGTTCTCCGAAATGAGCTGCAGCAATGTTCTTATATATTTTTAATTGCTCATGATGATTGACAGTAGACGCTGCAAGATTGATATATAACGCTGTTTGATATATTTTTAATGCTTTTTTGAAATGACATTGAAGAAAATAAACATATCCAATATAATTATATGATTGCCCAATATGTGGATGATGGGCTGGTAATTCTTTTTGTCGAATGTCTAAAGCCTTTTCAAGATTAATTAATGCCTGTGAAAATAAATGTGCATCAGCGTATATACAGCCAATGTTGGCATAGATTGAAGCCATATCAGTAAGATCTATTGATTTCGGATCGTCCATATCAACTCGCATTTGTAATGCTTGTTTATAATATTTCAATGCCACTTGATGTTGTTTCTTATTGGCAAAAAGCAATCCAATATTGTTCAATATTGTCGCTATGTGAGCAATGTTCGGTAAACGATTTTTCTTTGCATTTTTCAATGATTTTTCATAGTAGTCTAATGCTTTGTTATAGTAACCGCGATCACTGTACAAAAGTCCGATATCATTGTAAATAGCAGAAATTTGATCATTGTTGAACGAACGTAGCTCTTCAAATACCAGGGAAAATATTAATTCAGCCTTATCATATTTGCCAATTTTCCAGAAAAAATAGCCCACTAATGTCAACGGTGATGCACGATCATATTCCCGTTTCGATAATTCTTTGAACTCGTTCATTTCTCTCGTTTGCTTTTCATTCACTAGTTTTAACTTAATATACCATACTGAGTCATGTTGTTCAATCGATTCAGTGTGAAAAACTGTACCCGGCGAGAAGAGAATTTCATTTGCATCTTCATCTTGTGTAATTACGCCAAATGGTTTAGCCAATTTTGCGACTGAGCGATTCACGACTATTTCGAAAACAATCGATTGAACGGATGAATTTCGTTCGGCATTGCTAGCACATTCCATAGCTGTTTCAAAATTGGTTGTGGTTAAAAAAAAGGTATTGATCGAAATTAACTGACCAACAGTGACTTTTATTTTGTTGAATTCTTCGTTATTCATACCTTGCCCACGATAGAAAGTCCATTGATTTTGCGAAACCGGTGCTTGTTCAATGAAACTCAAATGAAGTTTTTCTAGTTGACAATGTAGGTCGGTGAGAAAAAATCTGAATTTAAATAGTGTAGCGATACTTTCTGAGCGCAGTGCTTTATTCAACAAACGATAGATGAAACAATCACGCTTATACCACGAAAAAACATCGGCTGCTTTGTAATGTTGACGAAAATCTTCAATTGATTTTTGTTCTAATTCATTATCAATATAATCGAGCTCACATTTGTTCAATAAATATTTCTTCATTAAATCTGATTGAGGTGTGTAAATGACTGTTTCAATTAAGAATGGAAACCAATTAATAGCCGTGTTGTTCAGATCAGTATTAGTTGTCTTTTTTTCTGAGATTAACATACTTGTAGAGCATAAATTATGTGAGGACGATTGATAATCTGTTTTCAACTTTTTCATCATTAATACATTATCCGTAAAAATTCCACTCACTTTTGGATACTTTTCAACACATAAATCATTAGACACTCGCCAGGGGCAATATATATAGATGTGTTCGAGATGACAATGATCATGAACACGAGGTATGACGGCGTTTGATAGCGTATCGGGAATGATTAAAAATATTTTTTCAGATTGTATGGAAAGCACATATTTGACACATTGTTCGACATTGTGATATAATTTCAAGTAATTAATAATTGAACGTAATTGGCCTGGAACTTCAATTTGATTTCTCTTCTCGCTCAGCCAAACAAGGGAAAAATCTTCATAATTAGGTTCGTCGCCAGCGAAGGATATCTTTTTTGAGTCGTTTTTTGTTTTCTTTTTAGTAGTATATGTCGATGACGATGCACAAGTACTGCTCATAGTTCCTGTAATGTCCTCCGTTTTTTCTTTACAAAACCAAATGCGTAAATTCTTTTTCGGATCGAAAAACGAGCGAACAAACAAACGAACGACTGGATGAATGTAATGATGTAAACTGTAAAGAGGAAAACAATTTTAAAAGCGTTTTATCCCTGTTGACACGGTGCAGGGGCTCTCATAAAACAAACAGAAAAGCGAAGAAGAAAAAAACGGTGAAATCGATCAGTAACTGATCTGGACCTCGTCTTTTCAACGATAAAATCGAGCAACTAAGATCATATGAAAGAGTAGCTACATGATGATTTTTATCGTTGTATTATTAACGAAAATCTAGAACTATCGCAATGCGAGCTGCACCACCATAGTCGGTCGTTTAGTTTTAAAAACTTTTCATTTCTCCATCAGAACATCATATTGCTTTTAAGTCTTGCATAGAACAGCAACAGATTTGCTTTTTTCAAATTTTCAACGATACTTATTTTTTATTTTCGTAGTGATTTAATAGCGAATGACTTCATTGTGCGATTAATCATCGGTTGCTAGCTTACAGTAGAAATAAAAACGTTTCAAAGATGACTATTGAGTCTAGTGATAGTTTTTACAGAGAAAAACTTCAATTGTGCCTTTCACAGATGTCTTGCTTCAATAAATAAACCATGCAGATAGATTTGTTTCCAAATGAAAATAATTATTTTTAGAACTATGCGAAGAACGAATAATAGGATGTGACATTTTTAATTATTCTGTTTTTCTTCAGCCTTGAAGTATTTTCATGTCAAGATCTGCTTATTTAAACTATCTGATTTAATCATTTGCTAATAAATCTGAGACACAGGTTTTCAATTTCAAGCTTTATTATTCAGAGTGTTTAACATATTAAACGATAGAATATTTTGGTAATTGTTTTCATGAAGTGTTTTCTTTTTCTTTTATCAAATCATATCCATGACTAAACATTCCTTTGATTTAGTAGTTAGTTTTAGAAAATGAGGACGAAAATCACTATCATTCGCCTTGGTGGGAAAATAATATTGATCTTTGTCAGCGTAGACAACAGAACTAATCACGATGAATTCACTAGATTAAGCGTATATTTCATTTAAGGCCTCCCCCACCGTAATTTTCATTTTCGGTTCTGAACATTGAATCCTGCTGAAATTTTCATAGAAGACATGTCTACTGTTAGGTATGTCACGGTAAAAATATCAGCCCAAAATATTAAATCTTTGGCCTTTTTTTGCAGAATCGTGACGCAAAATGGTGGTGTCGGCGTTTCCCATATTTCTCCCCCGTTACAAACGCTATCAAGCTCGGGTTTGTTTTAAAGTGTAGCTATGACCTGCCACTACAACTTAACGAAGCCCTAATATCCAAATTCATTTTTCAATTTTTTCATGGAAACTTGCGGTGCAAAAATTCAGAATCGAATGGTACTCCTCGGTGAAAATTTCGATATTCGAAAACAAAGGTCATTTAATCGTAAAATCCGACTTCGTTAAGTTGTAGTGATAGCTCATAGCTACACTTTAAAAAAACCCGAACTCTGTATCATAAAAAATGGCGGAGAAATTTGGGAAATACAAAACTTACATAGCTAAAAATCGTATGTTGAGAAAAACGCAAAATAAGTTTGCAGAATGATTTTCGAAGGTTTTTTTGGAACTAAGTTTTGTTAAATGAGTTTTTTTAATATTTGCAATAGATTATCAATTCGAACGTGTTGGTCAGCCCATTCTGATGAAGATCTGAAGAAGTTTTTGCATTTTCTATGGTTAGAGTGTGCTAAATCGAAACCGATAAGAAGTGATTTGTACCGTAGGATTAAAGTAATCGAAGTTTTCATCGAAGATATTATATTCTATTATAGTAAACAGGATTTAAAGCTTATCTAGAATAGATGAAAACAACTTAGAGTTTTTTAATGAAAATCTTTATCCTAGAAAGACTGTTTGAACAATTGCACAAAAATGATACTCAAATTCAATCAGTTAATGAAAATTAACACATATTTCAAAGCCAATATACTAGCGACATGTATCGCATACAATAATCCCTTTCACACACCCTCAAAGAATTTTAAAACTTATCGACAATAGAAGTTTTCAAAAAAAGCACTCTCTCACTGAGTAGGGGGCTCTGAAAAAAATGAGTTTTTCACCATAAAAAAAGTCATAAAATGAATAATTCATAGTGCATTCGATAGCTCGCATCATGCTCTATAAGGTGCGCTAGAAATCGAAAAATCGAAAAATTTGACGAAAATTGACATTTCAGCGTGGGTGGGGGCGGGTTAAAGTATTTTCTCTTCGACAACTATTTTGATAGAATAAGTTTTGAAAAATACAAGCATCATTGCAAAATGCTAAATCTTAATCATACATTTGCTTCAGTTGATATCATCAAAAACGTTTTTTTATTGCTTTCATTTTTATACAGCCAACATCGTAGAACCTAACACTTTTAAAGAACTACTAATGTCGATGACAACAAAAAAAGGCACTTGGACATTGAACAAAATATAGATGCAGTGTAAATTTCATTGAAATCAATTCAATTGCAAGACGAGACATGATTTAACGCAGTTCACCGACTAAACCGTTCACTGCTTGTATTCTGCGAGGTAATCCTGTGGCAGCCATATTGGTTCCATCAGGTAGTTTACTAGAATTCGTCACGTTTCCAATTTGTACAATTCTAATATTCCAACGATTGCCAAAACAGATCGTAAGCATTTTACTTACAAGATTATGCAATTCAGTTCGAAAAGTACGTAAGACTAATATGAATAAATAAAATGCTGTAACAGGAAATAAATAGACACATAAGTCAGCGAGGAAAGACGCAAATCTTTCATTAGCTAAATGATCCGATGACTTATTTTGAATATTACTAGCTATAGCAGCATAAAGCGTGTAGATCAGTTGAAGTGCTTGAACAAAACAATAGACTATGACTTGTATAAATAGCATCGGTAATGCATTTTTATCACGTGTACGTTGGAAATGTGTATTTGTACTTGATGGATCTGTAGGATTAGTTGCATTGGCTGGTTGTTCACGGAAGTCTCGTTTGATTGCAAGATTATGTCGAATGAGTACAGTACATGTAATCATAATTGTTGGAGGAGTGATACCACACGTGGCTATTGTATAAATACTATGATAGAGTGCTGCTGTATGATTGTATACAATGGCACAAATATCAGCAGCTTCTCGTATCTTATAAAATACTAATGTATGAAACGGTAGGATAAGCCAAACGTCTATAACAACAGCAACTGCACGTTGTGCAACTTTGACTTGTGCAAATCGTCGTACACGAACATTTCTTGAACTTAGCGCATATCGATCGAGACAAGCAATAGTTATCTTCCAGCGTGACATCATAAAAGTTGATTGCATGATGTAGATACGTATCTTGCAAAATGCTCGTGTTGTTATATTCGGATCTCGGTTGTTCAATGTGAAGAGAAAAGAGCCGCAGCCCAAACATAAGCTTACTATCATGATTACTGATGCTGCCAAAAATTCTACAGGAGAAAGACACCATTGTAAGTTTCGTAGGGTGTGGGTGTACGTGTATGCAGTGTGAATATAGTTGCAGATGTTTTACACTCACACCTACACCCTAATTATAGAAAAAGAAATATGAAACTTATTCATATCAATAAGTCTACCATTCAAGACAAAATAATATCAAACTGCGTAGTAATTAACTTTTTTGACGCACTCATCGCTATCCTATATTGTGATGGATTTCAAAGAAAATCTTTCTTTCTTCCATATACGATTAATCGACAAATAGAGAACATGAATTGGGTAATCTTTTTTTTGACAAAATTCAGCGAAGCTCCGAGCGATTTATGCCAAATTTAAACTCAGCGTTCAAATGCTGGAAATGAGACTTAGCATATGTTATACCACAATAGACATTAGGTCTTGAAAGCATGCTATCGCAAATAAAATACTTAATAATCAATTAAATTTTAAAGTTTACCTCAAAGATAACATAGTTTTGATTTGGTAATACAGATTCTTAATATAGCCTACAGTGCCTTTGACCGTTGATGTGAGTGAAGCTCTTGTTGAACTTAATCAATATTTCGATTCACATAAATATTCGCTTCCTGATAAAGTTAATTTCGAATTATTTTATAATTTTATCTACATCATGACTTCATATAAACTAAACAATCAATCTAAGCCGATGAGTCCTAGTAGAAAGAAAGCAGAGGCTTATTTTATTGATTCAATATGATTTTCATTAGTTTCACAGACATATATAATATTTTGACATCAACGGATTGATACAGTTACTTATTTGTGTTATGATCCGAAAAAAACATGGATATTTTATAGCTCTATATCATTTTTTTTTTCATGAGAATTTATCACACATTTTCAGTACGTTTTTTTTTTGCCTCAAGAAATATGATTTTAATTTACACATCTTCTATTGTATGAATAGAAAAAGACAACTTTTGTCAATTAGTTTCGCGTTTATGGACAGCGTGACTTTAAGACGTATAATGAACGAGAAAGAATTGAATACTATTAAATTCACAAGCAATGGTAAGCCTACTTTTATAATACGATAGGTTGTATGAATGTGCGTAATCCTTATGATAAGAATTGTGTCAGTCGGGTCAAATCAGTGTTCAGCATAATCAATACATATGTAAAAAATATGAAACTCGAAAGAAATATTCGTCTGTGTTACAGCCTACATCTGAAAGAAGAAGCAATGCTGCTGCAAAGTTCTTTGGATTGGGACTGAGTATTTATACTTCTTTTATGATCTGTAAGATGAAATTTATATACTTCACTGAACAAGCCAGCCTATCATTTAATTATAATAGTTCACACTTGCAATTATAATCCATGCTGAGCAAACATACCGGATTAATTCCTGTTGAGCATGTGCGAGTGTATAAACTATCGTAGATGAAGTCATTCTTATGAATGAAAATGACATATTCTATTACTTCCTTTTCTCAACTTCTTGATGAGTAGAAAATACTGTTTCCAATAATTATTTATTAATAGATATACTTTTAGTCTACGCGTACATAAAAGAAGTGGCAGATTGGATCTACAAACGTTATAAATCTATGAGAAGGTATATAAAAATGTCATTAGAAAAAAAGCGTTGCGGATGAAGAATAGAGGCGTGAATCGATGAAAAAGTTAAGATCTACATAGCTAGAATTATTTTGAGGGAAGAAGAAGAACAAAAAAATATTTATTTCACAAGCATGCATTTTAATTTGAAAAAAATTTCCCGTAGGAGTTGGTTTTGCCTATTCTGAGAAGACTGTGAAATTTGATATTATTTTCTCTGCATCGGCAGTCGGAACAACACATACATTCGGGTTTATTGGAGATTAAAAAGAATAAGCCATACATGATGTCTTTAAGATATTGCATTCTTATATAACTGTTTGTCACAAACGATTAATGAGCTTTTGATACTGATATTTTTTTATGTAGTGTTGCTCATGAATCATTCAAACAAGAAAAAGATTTCGTTTCATCGGAGTCTGATAACCAACTTGAGATGCAAACGCGTATGTGTGTGCTGTATTTTACAAGGTAAGCATACCGAACGTTTTTTTTTATCTTATCGACGCATTTTTTTATGATGTTCTCTCGTATATTCTCAATGTGCAAGGAACCAGTAAAACATTGACATAATGGGTTGTAAGCCAGGAAAAGTTCATGCGATCGCTCCTAATCATATAAAACAAGCAGATGATATTCAGTTCCCAGTATCCACGCAGATTAGTACTACGACAGATACATCTCAAATAGTGACGACAGAAAATGATATCATTCAACAGACTCCACCAGAACAATCAAATGATGCTGCCAATGAGACAGAGTATGTGCAAATGAAAGTGATAGCTCCAGATATTGATCTTACTCCTGTCGACGATGAGACATTCTCGTCTGCTCTATGTCAACAACGGCAAGCTGCTATCGATAATATATCCTATCGGCGAGCTATTGATCAATGGCAACCAAAATCATTGGAACAATTAATTGACTCGATTAAAGTGTTATCTAAGAATAAAAATGAAATTGATCAAGCATGGATTATTTTCTATTGGATCTCAAAGAATATCCGGTACGATACACAAGCTTACTTCAATAATAATATTGGTTCACAAGCGTCGACAAATGTATTTTTTAGTCGAAAAGCGGTCTGTGATGGTTATGCAGCCTTATATGCAGACCTATGCACTAGAATAGGACTTACATGTCGTAAAGTGAGCGGTTATGCAAAAGGATACAGTTTTGAAGCTCGACAAAAGGGTTTTCAAAAGACAAATCATGCATGGAATATAATCTCGTTCAAGAATGGATATTCGTACTTTATTGAATCGACTTGGGGCTCTGGGCATTTGGACGACTCTACAAAGCAATACAAGGCAAAACTGGTGCCTCACTACTTCCTGTGTCGACCTGAGTATATGATCTATGGACACTTGCCAGAAGATCCTCAATGGCAACTGTTAAAGAAACCATTAACCATGGAGCAATACCTAATGTTACCTCGCACATACGGAAAATTTTTTGAACTCAATCTCAAAATTGTATCACCCATCTATACACATAAGGCGACTTTGGAGACAGGAAAATCATATGGAGAGGTGCTTATTGCAGCGCCAACTAGTGACATTGAACTATCAGGATCGTTACGCGATGAATCGAAGACGAAAATTGAAGGTGGTGATTTTGTGTATTTTGATCGGGATGAAAATTTGTGGCGATGCCGTTTTGCTCCTCAAAAAGTTGGTAATCATACAATTTTAATATTTGCTGGTAAGAAGACTGGCACAACAACGTTGGCTTCCAGTTGTACTGTCGAGTTCACCTTTGATATTGATCAGATTCCTACAGTTCCGATCTCATATCCTTACATATGGTCACATTTTTTCGATTATCACCTTGAAATTATCAAACCAGTCAATACTCGTTATATTGATTGGCCATCAGATAAGAATAATCCTTATTGTGAAATTCTTGTTCGTTCTCATGATGATGTATACGTTTCCGGCAAGATCACAAATAGTATGAGTGGTAAAACCATAGAAAATGGATCATTAGTAAATTTTAACAGTCCAGAATCGCTTTGGCAATGTCTCTTTGTTCCATCTAATAGTCATGCATCGTATGAATTAACGTTATTTGCTCGGCGCTTCAATGAAAATGAATCACATTGCGTTGCTCAATTCGATTTAAAACAATCACATCAGTCAACGCATCAAAATTGCATATCATTGCCGATTACGTATTCGCAGTTTCAAGAAGCTAAATGTGATTTATTTGAGCCACTCAATGGAGTATTAAAGCGTGAATCAAAAGTAACATTTCGATGTCGAATTCCTGGTGCCCATGAAGTCAGTATAACCATAGATGGACAGTGGTTGAAAAATGATTCAACATTTAGTATGAACGAAAATTATCTGTTTCAATGTGAATTTCAAGTAGGACAGAAAGAAGTCGTTGTGTGGGTGAAATTTGACAAAAAACAATCAAGTTACCAAGGATTATTAAAATACTCAGTTAAATAATAAATTATCACGGGCGGAAGATTTTTTTTCCAAAAAATGAATCAACAATCGTACTGATTGGGGATTTAGAATTGACGTCGTTGAGTACTATCCACCGAAAAATTCAGATCACATACAGATTTATTTTCTTCATTGTATGTTAATATTTCTAAAAGCTTCGCTGAATACTAGAAAGTTGAGACAATTTATTTAACGTTGCAACTATTGGTCCGAAAATTTGAGCGAATGGAAGTTATTTAACACGATAAAACTTTTATACGAGCATTTATCATTGATCATTAGCAACATTTACGAGCAGGGTTCAGATTTTGTGCGCTATCATATCGCCAAATACAATGCTTATCCAAGTTAGAGGACTTTATCAAATGGTATTCTATCCCTTTGAATCGTATATCGTGTTTCATGTTCAGGCTAATAATGACTGATGAATTTTTCTTTATTAAAGATACTACTGATAGAGTAAATGATTAGAATAGTAGATATCAGAACATAATTCTATAGTACATCCAATTATGAGGAAAATAATTGTTATTAATGTCTTCTATGAACGATGATTTGTGTAGTAACATCCTGAAGTCATTCCAGAAAACAGTGGCCATTGAAATGAAAAAAAAGATACCGATGCGCTCTCTATATGTAAAACTCAATTCCAAGTTTAAACATCATAATTAATCAATGATTTCCATTAAAATTAACTCGTTCGACAAGTCTAAATTAGTTTCTGATCGAGAAATTTATCTTTCGTTAATGTCACACTAACTAATTAACTATCTTGTTCAAATTTATATAAGCAAAATATAAGTTCAATTAATCCCTCTGTTTAGATTAAAATCATCATAAGATCTGAATCGTTTCACTCGAGTAAGCTTATAACAAATAAAAAAAGATAGCAACAATGATTTCGCTATTTTAAATCGAATTTTCAATGACATGAAGATTTCAAAAGAAATCGAAAGTATACCTCTTCAATATGATCTGGTGCTAATAGTTTATCTTTATGAAGCTACTATTCAAAATGCAAAATATCACGTTCGTGCCAATATACGATTAATATTTATTTATTTATTTGAAATACTTCGTGTAATACTGAGTTATTTAAAGGAATGTTCATCACTACGTCCCCAAGTCAGCAAAAAATAAAGCATGAAGCAAAACATAACTAGTCAGAAATGTCCTTGAACCCGGCCATATCTAATCCGTTTTGTCTGTTGACCTAGTCCAGACTAGCAGCAGCGTTAAAACAAAAGATTATAAGATAGGCTTAAACATCCCATATAACAGTGTTCGAAATATGATGGACATGCTGGTAGCAGACTAGCAAATCTAGATCGACTGCCATCCGTACATATAGTCTACAACATAGGTTGGCTCCTATTCACGCATAGCAAATCAGAAGCAAGCTGGCACAATTGGTATTGGCTAGTCTGAAATATATGTATCTTGAACAGTTTGTTATTCATGGGCGAAAAGTTTGAGAATAAAGCAAAAAAAACGTTTTTTGTTTATTTTGCTTCCATTGTGTTATTAGTGATGATCAGAATGTGTATCGATGGACTGTTCACGTTTTAAGTTTGCCAATGCCAATACTGCAGCCCTCGGACCCGTCCCGTTTCGGTCTCTATAATAAACTGCCAATCATAAAGTATACGACGCGAAATTTCAAGTTTCTTATGAAATATTGCTCGTACGTTATGCAATAACTTATTAGCGTAAACATTTGACTGCAATTTTATAACGTCATGCCTATTTGCCCTTCTTTTTCTTTCCTGTCTTCAGACCACTCCACTATTGACCAATGCGAGGTGGGTGCAAATAGATTTTTTATCTCGTGTTCTTACCTGACTAAATAAATATAAGCGTGAGAAGGATGTTGGAATGTTACTTGGTTTTTTTTTCGAGATACCCTTTGTAAGAAAAGCAACGAAACGCATTATAAAAAGCCACATCAAATAAGAAGACTGCTTATTTGAGTGTCAATATTTAGTAAAATGTCTGATATTGGAGACCAACTATTCCCGGAAGAAGACGAACAACACCCATGTGTTTCATTACGATGAAACTGTGGCGCAGTTACGGCGTAACTGCGATCGCACTGTGACCCGTAATTGCGGAAAATTGCGCCGTAACTACGCGTAACTACGAT